TGTAAGTGATTTTTCCCCCCCGCCCCTTATATTTTACTGCTTAGCTGCATGTGTTAAATTTTACAAGGGGGGGAGGATTTAATCTTCCTTCAAGCTGTAAACATTGGAAATTACTTTCATTGTAGTATTGCATCTTTAATAGAAGCATGTGATTGTTATAGCTACTGTGATTTGTGGTAGTGTTCAAACGTGAAATGAAAGGAAAATGTTTTGAACTTCACTTTCATAAAATTATTTCACTGAAATGTGCTTAAATATAAAAGATTCATGTTGTGAGTTCCAGGATAAAACCACCACCAAGTAATAAAAATAAAAAAAGCTAAGAGGGTAAGGGAAGATATAAATTCCTCGAAAGAAAATATTAACCACACCCACAATGTTAGAGCTAGTTTTGTATCATCAGATATTTCAACTTTGATTTGCGTAGGTCTTTGGTATTTTTTTTTCTTTTCCCAAGATATTTATGTAGGGTACCACATCATTTCTGTAGTGGTGCAAGGCTTACACTAATGTACCTTAGGGTAATGGTGGGGAGTTGATTTGGTTTAGGGCATTTTAGCTCTTCTATTTGGGAAGATTGAAGTAGGCTTCTGTAATGCAGTTAGAGATTCTAGGTTTTAACAGCTCTTTTGAGGAAGACTTCCTGCTGCTTTATGGAGAAGCAGGAATTTTAATGTTTTATGTAAAGCATTTCATAAAACATTGATAAGAGAAATAACTAGAACTGTGTTGCAGCTTTGTATCCTCCAATACTTTGCCAGTGACATAGAACCATTCAGGTTGCAAAAGACCTGTCTCTAAGTGCCACATCTGCACATCTTAAACACACAGGGATGGTGACTTCACCACTACCCTGGGCAGCCTGTTCCAATGCCTGACCACTCTTTCAATGAAGAAATTGTTCCTAATACCCAGCCCTTAACCTCATCTGGCACAGCTTGAAGCTGTTTCCTCTTGTCCTGTCACTTTTATCTTGGGAGCAGAGACCAGCCACCTCTTGGCTCCATCCTCCTTTCAGGTAGTTGTAGAGAATGATAAGGTCCCCCCGAGCCTTCTCCAGATGCCCCCAGTTCCCTCAGCCATTCTTCATCAGACTATTTTCTAGACCATTTATCCACTTTGTTGCTCTTCTCTGGACCTAGGAAATGGTGTCAGAGATTTTACTATATAGCCTTTGACATGGCAAAAAAACCCCTTCTTTCTTTATTAAAGATTCTGTGTCATTCACTGATTTTTGGAAAAATCAGTTGTTTTATAGGTCCCAGAATAGCTGACTAGTTTGAGTACAAAAAGATTTATAAAACTGAGCTGTAATGGAAAAAGCTACACCCTGGGTTTAAAATACTGTGGTAGGCATTAATTGTAAAGAACAAGGTTGCTCTTTGACATAGGCCTACCTCGTCTGTAGACTGAGGTTTTCTAGATTAAGTGTAAATTTTAGGCCTCCCTTTGTCTTGGGTTCCTTCCTTGCACGCCTGCTTTCTACAAAAAGGTCTCAAAGCTACACTGGGATCCTTCATGCCCCCTCTGTATTTTAGCATTGAAGACCACCAGCCTTTTTCTTTTCATTAAACTTTCAATTGAACCATCAGTTACATACATAGATGTATTGGAATGGGTGGAATGAATTGTTAAATTAAATAAAACTGAATTTACTCATGAAAATAATGCATAATTTGGATAAATTGAATGCCTTTTGAAGTGTTATGTTATTGGCAGGGGAACATATGCAGTCTAGAATCAGCTAGTCCAACCATTAGCCCAGGACTGCCAAGACCACCACTAAACCATGTAACTGAAATCTTCCATGTAAAACCAAGAAGAGGAAAGGAAGAAGGCAGTTAATTTAAGCTGAATTTACTGGAAGGCTTTAGGATACACTTGAGCTTAAGTTTATTACCTAGGTGTAGGCAAATAACTGTAATTCTATTGAATAGCAGGTTTAAACTTTTGGTTTGGTTTCTTGGTTTACAGTGTAAGCAACAGGACCTGTGCAGTTTCACTTTCTAGATTTCCTTAGCGGTGGAATAGCTGCCATAGTGAATATTAAACGAATTTTACAGCTTAGTCTTTTTGTTTTCCCAAAGATGTAAAACACATGGGAAGAGATATCTATCTGGATATTAAATGCAGTGTTGGTAAATGATGGCAGGTTGCCTGAAAATGTTTATTACAAACAAATTACATAGTTGACACCAATTTTGCAAAGATAAACAGTCAAACCATGTGTGTTTTGTTTTTATTAGTTGGTTCAAAACTGGTTTGAAAATCTGTTAGTAAAGATACTCATTAGATTTTGAAATTGCAGTATGTGCTCATAAGTGTTTTCAAAACATCTTTCAAACTCTCCTCTGGATGTATTTAACTTTAGCATATAATTTCTATTCAACTATTAAGGACTTGGGCCTGCCTGTTGACATAGCTCACCAGAGTGTTTTGGTTTTGGTGTGCTTGAAGCTGTTCACAAGAGTTTATCCTTTGGGACTTGTGGAATTTATTTTGCTGGAGTATTTGCATTATTTATTTTTTTTTACTTTTGGCTCAATAATTGTTTCAGTATCAAGACTGAAGGACATCTATCCATTTTAGAATGTAAGAAAAAGAATTTAATGGATCAGCGTAGAACTCCTGTTCTCTGTAGTCCCTTGAAATCTGTAATCCCTGGAGCTCTGCACGAGGTAGTCTTTGTGATGTTTAACAATTACTGTTTACCATCTCTTAATTTAGATAGTCAAAGTCAGTGTTTCAGGTTGTTTCTGTTAAGGAAACCTTTGAACCTTATGTATGAAATAAGGTTGGTATTTATCATAGTCATTTACAGAAGTTGCACAAATCCTGTTTCCCTGAGCACAAGAGGCAGCAAATAGCAGGGGACCGTTTTTTCCTTGTAACTGCAGTTTCTTTCCAGTCTGAACCTCATCCTCCCAAAATAAAAATGCCAATATGGGGAAGTTTGCTCAGTGTGTTTTTGTTACATCTTCTACCAAATACATAAGTGAAAGCATCCACCTTAGCGATGATGTGTTTGTGTGGAGCTTTTAGCTTTCTGTCCAAAATGTAGCTTGATTGTCTTGTTTTCTTTGGAAGCCAATTTTTTTTTCTCTCAATTATTAATGTATTCTTGTTGTTGCCACCATGTTCTCCTTTCTCCAGTAATCATATCCTAGGTCCTATTTGTAAGCATATCAACAGTATTGACCTGATGACTGAAAAATGTGTTTACGACTTAGTAGATCTCTGACTAATGTCCAGAAAAGATTGTGCATTGATAAAAGTAGTCTGGTGGGTCAATAAAACTTTGTCAAAACCTTCTCAATCTTTACTCAAAAAGGCATAATAGAGACAAGGCTGTGATTCACTTGGCAATGAGTTTCTCAGCATTAAGTGATAAAGGTGGAAGAGTCACCGTTTCCACCATCTGGTGCTCATGTGTCATGAAGTTCCCTTAGTGTCTCCTTGGTTCTTACTTTTAACAATATTTGCCTGCATCAGAATTTGGAACTTGCCAGGCTTTTCTGGAGTACCCTTAGCTGAAAAGCAAACACAGGTGCTTTAACACATTGTTATGCACCATGTTGGTGAAATCTGTTCTGGATTTAGGCCAGAGAAATAAAATACCAGAATGGTTTGGCTGTCATTCAGATTACATAGTTCATAATGATAAAGCCTTGTGTCATTCAGTTTACCTAGATTTGTAAGCATATTTGACTTTTTGTTTTCATTTCATAGTCTATCTCTGAGTGAATATGAAGGCCGTACTCCAGAAACTGTCCTTTGTAACCCTTGAGAACAACCAGTTTCCTAGAGTAGGAGAAAAACACTGATTCTGTGAGAGGAAGGTTATAATCAGTTGTTTACAGTTAGTTTTCATGCAACGGGCTTGCCATCATGGAATTGGTACATATCTTGTTTGTACATACCACAGGTAATGTGCAGAGGGTCCCTTCCTGCTGTCACTGGGATGAAGTCTCCAGCTGCTGTAGTTGAAGTTACTCAAAAGCTCTATTCTAAGTCATTTCTTAAGGATGACATAATAGAAAAGCATAACTGCCTTGGTCTGATTTGCTTTAGCCTGTTCGTAGGAGACAGTAGAAAGCAAATAAAGGTGAGCATGGACAGGATTTCAGAGGTGAAACTGTGGAGTGAATGGCCTTTTAGTAGCATCAAAGAACTTGTCTTTGAGTTCTTTGAATTTCTGGGACTCATAAGGCTTTTCTGTCAAAAAAAACAGGCTATTATTAAAAGACTGCATAACTAAGAGTGTTGATACACTGTTTTGTGTGCAGGCATTTTGTGCCTATTCCTCTTCTTCCTTCACTAATGAGCTATGCACTGAAGAGAGAGGCTCTTTTTGAGGTTAGGAGTGGGATGGGAGGAGGGATAGAGTAAGTGTTCCGAGGAATCCTATGGAGAGTTACTATTAGAAACTGCTAACTGCTAGAAAGGCCAGCCTGAAGCAATTGGGAATCTTTTGTCTTATCCGTGTGTGTAGTAGGGGAAGAAAAGATATTCCCTGCCTATTCATGCTCTGCCTCAGTTCACAGGGAGCTTTTATGGAAAACAGTGTTTAGCTATGCGAAGAATGAACACGTCATGCAGAATCCCTCGTGCTGTGTATTAATTTAGTGATGGCTGTAGTACCTGTAGAGGACAAGCACGGAATGTGATGCTTTTTTTGGGTTTGCACATCTGAAAGTCTGTGCTCTGTGAAATTCTAGTTGCAGTTGGCGTGTGGGTTATTGTGGAAACTGAGACTAAAAATTAACATGTAATAAAATGCATTTTCAGTGGGCTGAATATTTTCAAGTACAACAAATGTGTGATGACTGCTTATTTTTTTGACTTAGGATTTTTAGCATGCTTGAAAGTATAAATCTAAGCTTGTTTCTCTCAGTAAAGACTTGAAATGGAGTAGAAATCCCAACAAATGTATGCATTAATTAATAACTTTAAGTGTCAATACTATTCCTTTATCATATTTGCATTTACCTCTTTTATAGGCAATTGCTGGGTATTTTGATATCTTTTTTGAGAAGAACTGTCAAAATAAGGTGAGTATTTGGGGTTATGCATTTTATGTGTCTTTGGGAGATGAGGGTGGTTTTGTATTTATTCTGTTTCAAGGTGTTTGGCAAGGAGTCTATTTTGCTGTAGCAAGTACTTCATTTGCATGTGTGTTTGATAATTGATTGATGTTGTGTGATATCAAAAATGTTGTTCTTAATCAAACTCTTGAACTCTTCCATTGTAGGTCTTGTTTTCAACTGGTCCCCAGTGTACCACAACGCACTGGAAACAGACAGTTTTTCTCCTGGAGAAACCAATTCCTGTAGAAGCAGGTATATTTAAATGCAGCTGTGGTGCAGCAATGGTTGTGTTGCGCTGCTGTTAATTAAATTGAGATCTAAAATACTTTAAGAACAACATAAATGTTAAAAAACAGCTAGTAAATAAATCTTTCAGCTGCTCTAAAGAATTTTTCTATGTCAACAGAGCACTGGGAAATACCTATCTATGCAAAATTCATGTTAAAAATACATTCTAATGTTTGCATAGGTATATTGTAAGTGGGCATATATTTTGCTTAGCTCCATATTGTAATTTTGATGAGAACTTCTGTATCAAAGCATTTCTGAGGCACTAGAATTTAAGACCGGGACAATGCTATTAACATTCTAGTGTTGTATCTTGAGTATTGTATATGTCAAGTGATTGCGTAAGGTTTTTTTGTAGCCCTCCTGAACTATGCTGTATTTTTTAAATGAATCATGAATATATGCATGGAGCTGGCAGTGTGGGGATTGCTCTGTAGATTGGAAATTTACAAATTTCAAAGAACATGAACTTGAAACTTGATCCATTGAAGTATGGAAGATGCTATTTTGATACACTGTAAATTTAGATAAAATTGATAAGTACCAGGTGTTGTAGGTGTTATAGGTGTTATAAGTTTCACCTTGAATTTGATGCATGTAAAAAGGCTTTAGTTGTCATCAGGGGTAACCCAAAATCAGATGATAAATTGTTCAAGTGAGGTTTTGAAGACTGAAATGATGCTTATTAGTGGTTTCAATTAGTTCCGTTTGGTAAGTCTTGAAAATACATTTCTATGCAAGTAGTCAAGTATTCCTTGATTTATAGACTGAATTATGTCCACGACTGTCATGGGATAGTCATGCAAGAGGACGAACATACAGCTGGTCACGAATTACAAGTCTTGCCCTCTTGTTCCTGTAGAACTGCACTTTCTTTAAGATTCTCCCAGGGTTGGGTTTTTTTTGGGGGGGAGGGGGTTTGTTTGGTTTGGTTTTTTTTGTTTGTTTTGTTTTTTTTAATCCAAGTAGATTAAATAGTTAAATTTTTATGGTTTTATTATTTCTTACCTTTTCCACTTAACCACTAGGTATTTACTCACCATCGTTAAACTCTTACTTGGTGGTGTTTTAGTTGTCTTTGAAGATCGTTTTTCTTCACAGACTGGCAAGACCAAGGGAGAGGAACCTCAGTAATGAGCCTCATTTCTGCTGGTTGGTTAATAAATTCATGGTAATACCTGGCCCTGACCTGAACAGTTCATAAATAGCTTGGACAAATTGGGGGAAAATGTACAAAAATTTATGTGGATGTTGAAAAAAAGCTGAGGTCAAGAGGCATAGAGAAGCTATAGAGAAGTATTGATGTAGATGGAATATTATCTCTCTTACCAGACCTAATTATGAATATGAAAGCAGCATCTGCGCTCAGTTAAATTCCTTTTTCATTTGCCTCTTCCAGCCATCAGCCATGACAACTTTTTAGCAGGAACGTCTTTCCTGAAGGCACTATGGTCCTGACAATGTCATTTCTCTCCTGACAAATCATTTCTCTCCTTCATGCTTTGACTTTATATCCTTAAGTAAGTTTTATTTGCCTGTTCTTAGGTTTTGTCACTTTTTGGTACATATGCATTGGTGCATTTATACTTGGCTTGTGTTCTGTTCAGCTTCCCTTTATAGACAAGGCTGCAACTCATTAAATTAAGGTCTCCTTGCTGCAACTCATTAAATTTCACTGTCATAGAGTGTGAAATAATCTTTAAGTGTGATGACATTTGTTAGAATATGCATATTATTTAATTTTACATAGATCATTTGACATTTGCCAAATGTGTGAAATGACTGGAAGGTGTGCCTGCGTCGGGAATTCTAGTATAGGTGCAGTGACTTTCTGAAGACAACTGGAGAAAACTATGTGCTTTGAAGCAGTGAACACAGCCTAGTTGACCTTCAAGATCACTTTTGCTGTAACTCCTTCCTTCCTTTCTCTTTATTAGCTCATATATCCTAACATTATCCCCATAACAAATCTTGTTACAGCCATGTTTCTTTTTTCTTCTACCTGTCTCCTTCTCTTCATCATTGAAGTTCCCCTTTCCATGCTTTTACCCATTCTCTCTGTTTCTATACATTATATAAAATTGCCCCTTTAATCTGGGATTCTCTACCTGTTATTTCCAGTGTTAGAGAAGGTTCTGAGAGAAACTATTGATGTAATTTCCTTTTCCTTTGTAATCCTTTGTGAAATATTTATTGTTCATGGATGACAGAAACCAATCAGGGCAGAAGTTGTTTATTGATACTTACATAGCCATGTTTCTTAATTGAGGTGAACCCTAAAAAAACCACACCATTCTCCTGGATTTTGATCCTTCTCGTTCATGATTCCAAAAATCTTTTTTTCCCCAGGACATGTTAATGTAAGTACAAATTTCCCCATCTTCCATTTTTCCCATTTGTTTTCTTTGTAAAAACAGTGACTTAAATATTCATCTGGGTAATTTGATGATGCCCTTGCAGTAATCTGACTGGTGTCCCCATGGTGGCACTTCTTTTCAGTATTTTAATAGGTTGTGAAAGAGGAATTTGGTGCTAAGAAATGCATTTGAAATGTTTTATTACTTTGAAAGCATATTTCAGACATGGTGCTGGCTTTTTCCCCAGTAAAGAAAAATTGTTCCATTGGATTTCTAATTCTGAGTAAAATAGTGAGGCTGACTTAAAAGTCTCTGTCAATTGCTTTATAGCTTTTGGGGATATGCCTGAAGTGGTTCTAAAGCACTGATTGTATTTGGATTTGCTCTGTAGAAGAGGTTGAGCTTACAGATATACAAACCTGGCTCCTTTATGCCACATCAAAATGGTTTTGTTCTGCAGTGTGAACTAACTAATTTTCTCAGCTGTTTGATGCCAGGTTATTTGTTATAAAAATAGATCCATTTTTTCAGCCATAAAAAAGACTGAATGTTTTGATCTCTATTCTAACAATAAAATCAAGCTGTTAGAAGCCAAAGGATGGGGTTTGCAAATTATCCTCCCTCCTTACCATTCCCGACACAGCCTGTGCTGGGTGTGCAGTGTTTGCGAATTTGATGGGATGCAGTGGGAAAGATTTAATCTAGGTCCAAAGATCTGGAGAGAGGCAATGAAAGTTTCACATAATTAATACTTTTTGATTTGCCACTGAATATCAGCTTGATACCCAACTATGGTAGACAACTTTCTATACTAAAATTTATGTATTTGTATATTAAAGCATATCTATGTTCAAATGGATAATTTCTGTAGCTTTGGTTTAGATTTTGAAGGGGAGGAGAAGATAGTCTCTTTCTACTCATGTATTCTGCAAAACTGGTTTTCCTTCTCACAGATGAGAGATTTGAAGCTGATGTACGGTGAAGTGAAACAAAATAGTGTCAGTATGTTGGCTATGCTTTAACTGCTTAGCAAGCAGTAAAACTGAAGAAACTGGAGAAAGAAAGGAGATGATATTTTATTTCCAGAAAAATAGGATTTTCTCAGACCTGAGTCTTGTATTGTAGCCTCTCTACAGAGTACAAGACTTAGCAGCCCTTTTAATAGCTTGAATATGTCTTTGTTTTGAAAATTGAAATTGAGATGCCAAAGCAGTATCTTTTTTTCTTATTAATAGTCCAAACATGTCTTTTCCTTTTACTGTTTCTTGAAATATTCCTGTTAAGTTAGATAAATGAAAAATTATATATGGAATAGCATTTTCATTTTATTGTCCCAAGCACTTACTGAATAAATGAAATCCTTTCCGAAATTATTTTAAAGGGCCCACAGAATCTTTTCAGTAACAAAGAATTAAGTTAAAACCCAGATCTGTATGCAAGCAAATTCTATTAGTAGTAAAACAGCATATTGTCAGCATCTTGTATTCTTGATACTGCCTTGCAGTGGAAATAAAACCTTGATTTTGTTTGCTATGGTGCTAAAAGGTGCTAGCACAGCAAAACTGAAGTAGAGCTCACATGACTAAGCCCCTGTAAAATCCTTGATTATCTTTTAACTCCCCAGTCACCATAATTGAGCTGTTTGTGAATTTACAAACTGTAAAATGTTAATTTGTCTACCTAGAAAGCTTTGTTAAAAGTAGGATGACAATGCTGGCACAATTAATCTGTCTGAATGTTTTGTCTTATACTGAAATACTTCAGTATTGTGCACCCCAGTTGGGCAATTTGTTTCCAAATTGAGATTTTAGTGTCTGTTTTGCCTGTCTACAGCTGTGACATAGTGTCTATAAAATGCTGTCACTTGTTTACTTAAAAATGATATCTCCAAAAGTGGTGCTCACTTTTAAAATCTAATAGTTGTTAAAACTTGGATTTTGAGATCACACTAGATCTTCCATATCTTAAGCTGTATCTTTTGAAATCCACAGTTTAAAATCATCCTGCTGACTTTTCAGAAACATTTCTGAGCATGTATTTCAGATGCTAAATTGAGAGACTCTCTTCCCATGGTTGTTCTATCTCACTGAAAGATAAAAGAGGTTCTGTATCTGACAGGAGAATTTGGATGGACTTCTTGTGCCATTCTGTGTGCCCCCTTTGGAAGTTCTGCAACTGCAAGGGAAATATGAATCATACAGCAACAACAATCTAGTTTTGTCAGAATTCTGTCACAACTGTAGAGAGAAAGATTGGGACAAGACTGTACAGTTTAGGATCTCTACTACAAAAAGGAGTGAATTAAGACTAGTTCTAGTTGAGTGAGATGGGCTGCTGCAGCTATACATGAAGGAATATGTATCTGGCTTTCACCATTCCCTGTGGCAACTATTTCTGGTACCTGAGCTACGTAGGGAATCTTGATCATTTGCAGTGTGTGCATGTTATCTTAGGTAGCTCTCCTACCTTACTCAGCTGGCTCTGTAGACTTCTTTGCAGCAGCCTAATTCAGAGTTTGCCCTGGGGAGTTGAAATGTGCCAGTAATCAGAGCATGAAAGGAAAAGGTAGAACCTCAACATAGTTTCAAAGAGGGTGAAGAGTGGTGC